AGATCCTTTTAAAACTACTTGGTGTTTAGTTCTATAACTTTTGTTAAAAGATTATCAAATACTAAAAAATATAAGTCTCATATCTAAAATTATTTTTTATATTTACTTTCTTGAGTAAATTAAAGAAAAGTGTTTTTTTTTACCAAATTTTATATATAAATTTGGGTGAGTCAACTCATTTGATTTATATATGACAACATTTTGAACTCCTGTAGGGGAACATGTCCTGTGTTTGATATATAAAAACATGCTCTGAATAACTTTACTTAGAAGTTGAAAGTAAGTTATCTTGTAAGAAAAATGAATTATCTATATACTAAAGTTAAAAATTCTATTTTTCAATATATAACTTTTTTTTACTTATATAACCTGCTTTTATATTTTAAATAAAGTTCTTTGGCATAAAATTTTACATCTATACAATTCACTACTCAAACCTTTTACTAAGTGAAAAATGGAGTTAAAGTTGAAAAAAAAAATTTTCTAAAAAAAAAATTTTTTTTTCTAACTTTAGTTCTATTTTTCACTTAGTAAAAGGTTTGAGAAAACAAAAATTGACAAACTATATAAATATAAAATTTTATGCTGAACAACTTTACTTAGAAGATAAAAGCAAATTATATAAGTAAAAAAAAAGTTGCATATAGAAAAACTAGAATTTTTAACTTTAGTATATAGATAACTCACTTTTCTTACAAGATAACCTACTTCCAACTTCTAAGTAAAGTTGTTCAAAGCATGTTTTTACATATATTTATTATTTTAAAATCGGAAAATACTTGATTTTGGAAATGTTAGATTTTCGTTTTGTACAAAATTAGCAAAATTTTAATTTAATTTTTAAGCTCAATTTTTTCTTTCCACTTGTTCTATATTTTTCAAAAATTTAATTTAAAGTTAATAAGTTAGATTTAAAAGGATCTTAGCTCAAAGTACATAGTAAATTCATATACAAGCATGTTCTGAATTATTGATTCTTACTGGATATACATGCATAGATAATATCTCTTTTCCTCCAGTTCTTATTTTATACTGGATTAGGTTCATTTTATCAATTTCTGACATATCAAATGCAAATACATTGGGTGTTTCCTTTATTAATTTTTCCTGTATCTGTCATTTTTTTCTAGAAAAAATGTGGTCTCTTTTATTAATTTCTTCTTGTACTTATTATTATTTATCCAGTAAATAACTTGACAACTAAAATGCTTTTCTTCTAAATCACATGAATCTACGCATTTATTTTATTTACATTAAGTTAATTCGAGTTGCTAGCTTTTTGTACAATGCTTCTCCACTTTTTGTCATTGTTATACACCACACTTTCATTTATCTTAACTCTTCATGTAATCATTATGTACTCTGTATCAGTTTTTTTATTGTAATTATCATCATCTTCTAACAAGTTAATCCATGCCCTAGAAACTATTAATACAACAAATAAGGCTTTTTTAAAATTAGATTTTATAGTATACTATAATTTATTGTATTTCATTTTAGATTACATTTTTCCGCAGCAAGCCAAGGCATACCAAGTAATACTTCAAAACTTGCAGCCTTCATTATATAAAATCCTTGTAGTACTCTAACACTTTCTACTATCACTTCAATATTTGAAACATGTTCTACAAATTTACTTAAGCAATTATCAGCTATGCAGCCTTTACTGATTACAGGTTTCCAAGTTAAGCCTTTTCATTTGGCGAAAATTCATGCATAAGGTTCAATCTTGAACCAGGATCAATAGGAGTTTCAACCACTTCACTATTGATTCTTGCTATAGCAACAGGAATGTTTTCAACTTTCTGGTTGCATTCCTCATATGATTCTGATTTTAGTATTTACTGACAATACATTACTTTCTTTTTTCTTTCTAGTCAATCCTTTAAGCACTTCAGTTCTAGCTTTTGGAGACCATTTAAACAATTTAAACAATTAATCTAATGTAATTGGAAGTTCAAATAATGCAATTTGCTTTAGAACATCCAATTCTTGTGTTAATTCTGATATAGAAATATACATAATTGATCACTTTTTGTATTGTTCAGATTCTTTAGGTGTTTCAATATAAGTACTTTTTTGTACCTATACTGGCATTTTGTGTTCTTCTTCTATGCATTTCTGTTTTCCTAAATTTCTCACATCAAATAAAGGTTCATTTTCTTTGGTCTTTATCATCAGATATTCATTGCTTTCACTTTAACTATATTATTTATCTCAAAATATTGTATATTAATACCCCTTATTTCAGGATTACCAGGTTTATTATTTGTTATTTCAGTTCTTTGATTATTGGTTTGTGGTTGCAAGACTCTATTATGGCAGTTTCGGGCAATGTGCTCTTCTTGATTATATTCATAGCACCTTCGAGGCCCATTGGTTATTTGTGCTTTGATATTGTTATACATTATTTATACTTTGATTTTGTTATGCGTTAGATGGTCTATTTTCTTTAAAATTTATAACAGTCTTGGTTAACTTGTTAATACTTGATTCCATTTTACCAATTCGATCATCTTTATCTGTACTTTGATCTTCACAGCAAATTTTCATAGTACTGAAAACTGTTGTGAGATCGTCAATATCTGATTTTGTAATATTTGGCTCATTAACTGTATTCTTGAATAGTACATACTCATTGTCCTTATTATATTTTTTCACATTTAGAGCCCAATTCTTGGCATCATTATAGGTTTTGGGACATTGCATTTTCACTCTTTTCCTAAAAGGTTCTCTTAACCCTTGTATATATCATTGTCATTTTTCATTTGCTCTTACATCATTTTCAATCAATTTTAAACAAGCATCAAATTAGTTAGTATAAGCCTTAATAGTATTATTCAGCTTTTGCTTAATACTTCTTAATCATTCCATTTTCTCTTCTTTGTTACAGGATGCTTGAGCCCCATCTATAATTGCTGCTTTTAGGGTTGTCCATATTGTTTAAAGTTTTATTTGTTTACAAATCCAGAGTTTTAAATTATCAGATACATGAAGTCTAACTACTTGTCATTTCTTAGCATTATTCCAATCCTTTGATGCACAATATGCTTCATAGTCCTCAAGAAACTCTTCAATGTTTTCATCTTTACTCCTATGATAAATAGGGTTTGTTGAGTTGGAGCCTCCATTCCTTATTGTTCAGATAAGTCTTACTTTATTAAGTTTGTTAGATGTGTTGTTAAAAAAAAATTTTCTTATATTTCTTATATATATATATTTTTATCTTATTTAGCACAAGTCAAGTTCTACATGTACTACATGTTATAAGTTATTTGTGAAAGTCCTTATTTCTTATCTTATTCAGCTTGTGCTGCACATTATGAATTGTTTATAAGTGTCCTTATCTTCTGTCTTATTCAGCTTGTGCTGCACATTATGAGTTATCTGCAAGAGTTCTTTATCTTGCTCAGGTTCTTCCTTGTCACAGAGATACTTAACTACAGGGCTTTAGGTTGGGTTTTACCTAATTTCAAGCACTCACTTTGCACTGGATAATTTGCCAGACACATACAATTCAGCAACTATCTTTATAGTTTCTTGCTAAGAACGTTTATTTTAGAATTGTGAAAAAAGCTGAATTCATTTAAGAATCCCTTTACACCCTTTATATCAAATTTCTATTTTACTACAAATAGGTTTCATCAATCGATAACTACATTTTTAATGCTAGATTATGCGTAACTATAATAAACTATGCTTTTATAACATACAAATTACAAATAAACTTTATGCATTAGATCACTGATCTACCCAATTAATATTTATTACCCTAACTGTCACAGGTACCATATACACATGTGACATTGTGAACTCAATAACCTAAAATTTTGACTATTATATATAACTCTCTTATTGGTCCCAAAACTGCACCCTAACCTTAAATTTTAGCCAAAATTAGAACATAATAGGTGATCATGAGTTTTTTTCGAACGAATATATTAGTTTTGATAATTAAAAGAATCTCCTGATAAAATACTAGACGAGAACGAACAAACTTCTTCATTCCTTGCTATTTGTTCTGTTGGAAAAGGATCTGCACCATTGATAATGTGATCAGTTTGTTCATCTTGAGTAAAATTTGGATTTACGTGTACTGCAGCATTTTGTTGAACTTCAACCGCTTGGTTTGCGTGATTTTGTTGATTCATCTCAATAAAAATGCAATACAGTTTATAGTACAGTAGTAAGAAAGTTGAAAAGTTACTGTTGGCGAAAATGCTCTTTTTTTTATACTTTTTATAATTATGTTTGTTTTCCAAAACTTTTTAATTCATCGATGACAGTCTAAACTGCTTTTAACTATCGTTATTTATGTCCACTTGACAGCATTAATAATCCAATCGCATAAACTCCGCACTTGTAAAACCCGGAATTCACATCTTAACGCCATTTTTGACCAAACAAAGATATAATCAGGCAGCGCATGACTTAAATTATTATATTAGCTTTTATATGTTGTTGTAATATTTATATATTCAAATTCATATATTTTGATTTTACTTGCATTATTTCGACTTGTACTTGTATGGTTAACATTGTCATTTCCGAGAAGCTTTAATACTGTTTTAAGAAAATAGTGCAGTATTATGACATAATATTTTATAATACAGTATATAAAATTAACACAAATAACTGTCACTCTTCTGAAATTTTGATTGTTAAACAAATTAAAGTCAAGTGATTGATTTAAATTCTAGAAAACCTATAGAGTAAATACTGTACTCGATTTACCAAATACGTATACAATTTTGCTAGTAATAAAATAGGTAAAATAATAGAATAAAATGCACTATACTTTATGGCGCATGTATTGTATATGTAATAATTACATCATTTTTTGCTTATTACGTAATCAACCAGAATAATAAAGTAATTAATCTAAAAAGAATAAATATTTATTTACGCGTTAATGCATTTATTTTACAGTAAAATAATCCTCGTATAGTCATTGGAAGTGAGACAACTGATTATAATTTTTGTTTTAGTTAAGAACGTTATCTATATCAAATGATCGGTTTTTAATATTTAAATATACAAGCCAGTGACATCCATATTGCTAAAGCCAGGTTCATCACGGGATTTATAATTAATGTTAATTAATATTAAAATTAGGATCAGTATAGGATGGAGCGCTTTCCCAACATTTTTACTTTATGAACAAAGATAGGTTTAGACACTCGCTTCTTGTATTTCTCGCGTTTCAAACTTTATTTTACCATGTCGGGCTTGGCTTTAGCCATCTCCTAATATGGTAACTGCACGTGTACATCCAAAAAATGTAGAATAAAAAGAAGTCAATGATTTTCACAAATAAAATTTGATTTTATGACTTATGACTAACTGCTATCATTAAATTTGGTATATCATTTTCGGATTTACGCGTAACAAAAGTCATACCGTATAAGCGCGAAAAGGCATTCGTCGGAAATAGTGTGCTTCAAGACAGTAATGTGATTTCAAGTTAGCACCTGCGGACGCTAACGTCCATCCCAATATAGCATATAATTTATCCATATGACAAATAATAATATAATGCCCGAAATTACGTGCAGGTAACAAAAGCGACAATATAAAAAAAAATTGGTCTTTGAATCAATAGTTCATCATTTTCTAATCACGCTATAATTTTCCAATTTTACTTAGTACGGAATTATCTATTCCAATTTTGGTTGCATATCGATTAAAATTAAATCACGTGAAATTATAATACCATACAGTCACATAAATAATCCTTGTTTTTATAATTAAAGCGGAAAAATAAAGATAATTAAGTACGCCCTGATTCTAGCATGAATTCTTTGACGTAAAATTAACACGATAACGAATGAATAATATAATAAGCATTTGGTAATTTGGCTTACACGGTCAACTCCTTGTAGCATAGGCGATTCTTATAGTAAAAATTTTTAAGTTCTTTATATAGTAAGTTAAAGTTATTACGTAAACAATAGGTTGCAAAAAAAAAAAAGATAAAAAACAAGATAAGATAAGATAAAAGAAAAGGCTACTGTAAAGCTGCGTAAAATATCGACCATAGGCGTTGTTTTAAAACACGTTCCTTAAAAATGGAAAAGTTTAAAATAACTTACGTAGATGAACGTTTAAAATTGCAGAAACTTCACAGAAAATTGAAAACCAATCGCAGATATTATTTGCGGGTTCAGGGAATGTATTCAATATGAATTTGACTTGCTAGTACGTAAGTAATAAAATAAAGATTTTTAAAGGATAATACGTATGACTAAATATCTGAATTAGTTGTATCAAATGCAGAACGTCATTTAAAAACGTGGGAGCTTAACTTATATTTAAGAATTAAACGATGAATTGCCAAGAATGCTTAACGTCGTACAAAATTTATTTTGTAAATCACAACTAATGCACAAACAATATGCAACCTATACACTGTACTATGTTCGCTTATTTAAATTACTAAAAAAATCAGACGTGTTTATATGTGATGTTACGTATTAAAACACCCGTTTTAATCATTTTTTGAGTAAATCGGATTAGTACATGTAAAATTTTTTTAATTCAAGTGCATTTTGTGGATCTTTTTACTATACAATTAACTCATTACTTATGACAACCTTTTTTATTGAATAGATATATATTCAAAATCAAATAAAAATTATTTTAAAATTTG